TTTTCCACCTATTTTGGGCTGCCAAAGAAATTATTAGCCTTTTAGTTTCAAGTCGAGCAATAGGAGCAAATACCTCATCATAGTCGATGCGAGCTATTTGGTTGTAACCTTTTGCCACTAATCTTGCTTTATATTTCTCGACTTCTCCTTTGGCATTCTTTTTTATTTTGTACACCCACTTAACATCAATCTCCTTGTGTTTTATTGGAAGTGTAGCTATCTCCCATGTATTGTTCTTCTCGATTGCCTTGATTTCTTCATCCATTGCATCCTTCCAACTCCTAATTTTTACGGCTTCTTGAAAATTTACAGGTTCACAATCAACAAAGAGGCTAAAGAGAGTAAGATTGTCTTGATTCTCAGTTACCTCATAGATTTCCTGTAAACTTCTAAAATATGGTACTTTTTCGCTTGACCCTTCACTTGAAGATGATGGATCCTCTTAAGTACTTGCAGTTGGTGTAGTTGGTGGTGTTATGGGCTCGTCTCTTTCTTGATCCATCCTTGGCTACTCAACTTCTTCATCCTTAAAGAAGTTGTAGTGATCTTCATGTAGGTCCCAAACCCATTCTCCTTCTTCATTGAAGATGACATCACGACTGATGATTGTCTTCATAGTGTTTGGATTGTATAACTTGTAGCCTTTTGAGTTGGAGTCATAACCTATGGAAATATACTCCTCACTCTTATCATCTAGCTTACTTCGTTGCTCATCGGGTACATGAACATGGGCTATACTTCCAAATTCTCTTAGATGAGAGATACCGGGCTTCCTTCCACTCCATGCTTCCTACGGTGTCATTCCCCACACACTTCTTGTTGGAGATCGGTTGGATAAGTAAACCTCGCATGCAACAACTTCAGCCCAAAATTCATTAGGTAGTCTCTTACTCTTGAGCATATTTCAAGCTATATCAAGGATAGTACAATTCTTTCTCTCTGCTACACCATTTGGTTGAGGAGATCATGGGACGGTCAACAGTCGACGTATTCCATTGGCTTCACAAAATTCTTGAAATTCCTTTGAAGTAAACTCTCCTCCTCGATCATATCGTATAACTTTGATCTTGAGGCCGCTTTCTTTCTCCACCAAGGCTTTAAACTTTTTGAATACTTCAAATACCTCTGATTTTTGCTTTAAAAAATATACCCATGATCTTCTTGAAAAATCTTCTATGAAGAGAAGGAAATAATTACTCTTACCAAGAGAGCTTGGCTTGATTGGACCAGATACATCTATATGTATGAGTTCAAGTGGCTTTTGTGCTCTCGAATTTGACTCCTTTGGAATGCTCTTTCTGAATTGCTTCCCGAGCAAGCAGCCTTCACATAGCTGATCTGGGTGTTTGATGCAGAGCAGACCTCTCACCATTTTCTTCTTTTATAATAGCTCCAATCCTCCAAAATTAAGATGCCCAAATCGAAGATGCTAGAGCCAAAATGGGTCTTTGTAGAAAGCTTTGAGACACTTGGCAATATCATTTTGATTTTTGAGCAAGAACATTCTGTTTCTTGACATTGGTATATTTGCAATTAGGTTGCTCATATTGTCTCTTATAGAAAGGTTTTTATCTTTAAAATGAATATCATAACCTTTCTCTAAGAGTTGACCCAAACTCAAGATATTATTCTTCATATTTGGCACATAAAAGACGTTGGAAATGAATTGGTGCTTTTCATTCTTCAATCGGATAAGAATATTACCTTTGCCCTTCACAGAAACCTTGGACTCATTTCCAAAGGATACATTGCCGCTCACTGACTCGTCAAGTTCCACGAACATGCTTTTTCTTCCACACATATGGTTGCTTGCACTGGTGTCTATATACCATGTGTTATGTCCACCTTTTTCATTCTCCTTATATACCAATAGCAAAGTGCCATCTTGTTGACTTCTCTCTTCCACATAATTAGCCTTCTCTTCAACTTTATTATTATTACAAGTTCTACATTCTGCAGAATAATGACCAAATTTTTTACAGTTGTAGCACATCACTTGAGATTTATCATACCTTGATCTTGGTTTTCCTCTTCCACACCCTCTTGTTGAACTTCCTCCTTGTCCAAAATTTTTATTATCGTTATCGCCATTATTAGAGCTCCAACATCATCCGCGTCCATGACCACGGCCATGTCCTCGACCATGACCTCTTCCTTGTTGGCTTCTACCATACTTGAGGCTCTCTTCTTTAACTGAATTAATTTGTGTCTTTAGGAGTTGTTCCGTGATAACTTGCTTCTTCTTTTTCTTTTCTTCATAGGCTTGTAAGGATCCCAAGAGTTGCTCGATTGTCATAGCCTCTAAGTCTTTGGTTTTTTAAGTAATGGAGACAATATGATCAAACTTTGAATCTAGAGAATGAAGGATTTTCTCCATAATCCTTACATCTTCTAGTTTCTCTCCATTTCTTTTTAATTGATTAGAAACAGCTAAGACTCTAGTAAAGTAGTCGGAGATGACTTCAAGTTTTTTCATATGTAAGGCTTCGAACTCACCTCTTAATGTTTGGAGACGCACCTTCTTAACTTGTTCTGCTCCTTTGTAAGAGGTCTGAAGCTTCTCCCATGCTTCTTTGGCAGAATTCGCATCGAAAATCTTCTCAAAAGCGTCATCATCTAATCCTTGAAAGATTAGATAGAGAGCCTTCTTGTCTCTCTTAGTTGAATCTCTTAGACTATCCTTTTGAGCTTGGGATAAACTTGACTCATCTTGTGGCTCCTTGTAGCCTTTCTCTATCATCTCCCATACATCTTACACTCCAAGAAGGGCTTTCATTTTGATGTTCCAATTGTCATAGTTGTTATTGTTGAGTGTTGGGACTTGGAAAGGGATCATACCATTGTTCGCCATCTCTTTAGGAAGAAACTTCGGCACTGATACAACTTTGTTGGAGAATAAGAGGCTATAGGAAGAGGAGGAATTTTAGAAGAGAAGAGGAACATATATAAAACTCACGTTTATTTCACTCTTGAACTCTTAATTCTACTTCTTACAAAACACAAAGACACCACACCTATTTATTCTAGTGACTTCCCCTTTAGGATTATGCCAACATATTTCAATCCAATGGTTACTATTGACTCTCTAGAATATCCTCCTATCTTCTCTTATAAAAGTCATTAATTGCAAATTCTAGAATTCTCTAAATAATTCTTTTAGAATATATTTCTAGAATCCTTTAAAACATTCATCATAAAGTGGGATTCTAGAATATTCTAAGGACTTTTCTAGACTATGGGCTCAATTATAAGGCTCACTCAATTAAAGGCTCAAATTAATCAAGTTTAATTTTCAACATAAAGATCATCCATCTACAGCAATTCCCAACCGAACGGACCCCTAATGCTGGTCTTCCACACACAAGCGGCGTATCCAGCCAATCTCTTTACGTAAGAAACGTCGCACGCCACACCAGTCCCTTAATTCCCAACCGTTCCAGTCCGATATATTCTGCATGCAGCTCACGTCCGATTGCTTCGGGCGCATCAATGTTTGTCTCCTCTCTTTCTTGTACAAGAACTTTCAACTTCCTTTTTCCTCGATCGCCTCAATGAGGCCAAGAAACTAAATGTTAGGAAATTCGGAGTTCTTGAGAGCACTTAAGCTTTCTTGCAATAGAGAGAGAGGGGGAGAGGGAGGAGAGAGAGACAATAATTTTGGAGGATCAAAATTTATCCTAAAGCTTCATTAAAATTTTTCCCAAATTAATGCATCTCATACAATGCCTAAAAATAAGCATTTACATTATTTTGGAAACTGATGGAGCAACGTAACTAAAACTGGACCAACACCTCACAAAAGATGTAAAAATACAATAAAAACGCACAAAATACAGCTAAAACTCAGAAATACACAACAAATATGTTTCCAATATACAACATTTGAACTTTAATAATGTGCATTTATTTTAGTGTTTGCAAATGTGCATTAATTTAAAAAATTCAGAAAAATGTGGAGTAATATGTATTGCTTTTTTAAAGAAAACTTGGAATGAGTTAAAATTTAATGGATAAGGTAAACATATATCACTTAAACCTAGCTTTCCCTCTCTCTACACATCTTTTAACTTCAACAATTATGCTTCTTGGATGTCTACATACTGGTTTTCAGCCTCCACGTCTTGTGGTAATATCATCTGCTTGTAAAAAGAAACGTCCACCTCAAAATCAATCTTAATTAATCTTCATTAACATTTTTTATGTTCTTTCTTCTTTCTTTCTCAGCTTGTACAAAAATTTTCTTAAGCCAAAGAAAAACTTTATATATTATAGAACTTCACGGCAAAAATCCTGAAAAAAAAACGTCAACCATAAATTGAACTGTATGATACCGGTCTTATTTGGCAGGGTCAAGCTGCAAGATAAAAAAAAGTAAAAAAAAACAAAAAAAATCAAAATACATATGAATATCCACGTCGTCAATACACGAGTAGAAACTTTATTAACATTCGAACACACCGCACAAAATAATTTCTACTACACAAGAGCTTCTCGTTGTGACTATATCTTTATCCTGCCGTGACTTTAAATTTTTTCTTATCTCTAATACTTCATAAATTTAATATTTAATAGAGTAAAAAAGTTTACTAAAAAAATAATTAGAATATTACTATAAAATAAATATAACAAGATATTAATTATTATATAATATGCCTTTATTTTATTATAAGTAATATTTTTAAAATCTTATTTTACCTAACACACTTGCAAAATTAAAATAGAAATCCAATTAATTCATCAAAATTTAATGAATTAAATCTCTACAACCTGAACTAATTTTAAAAATTTAACACCGCTAATATTTAGTAAATTCGAATTTATAAAATTTGTTAAATACTAATTGAATTAACTTCTACATCCATCCAAACAGCCCCTAAATGAAGCCTGAGATGACTTCTACATCAAATACCTCGTAAACATTTTGTCCCGACGTTTATTGCAAACAAGAACCACGAAAGTTAAATCAAATAAAAAACTATTATGTGTTGATTCCATTCCAAAAAAATAAAAACCATTCCTCTTTATATATCTTGCCTACTAACTAAGGAATAAACCAAGGGAAAAGAAACAATTACATAACTTCGAATTTATCAGTGCCAATATACCATTCATATCTCATATCCTACAGCGCAACCAAGCCAAAGCTTAACAGCGCCAAAACCATCACAAAAACAGCATCAAAGAAAATCTACAACGAACAAAACGGATAAGGAAAATGGAGACCAAATGGCACATTTTCACTCTGCAGCGATTTGAAATAACACCGAATATTTTAAAATTCATGTTCTCTGATTTTTATTATCTTTTCAGTCACCCGGACTCCAAAGACTCCATAAACGAGAATTAAAAATTGCCGTCACGTCCGCCCAACCTTTACGCCGGTCGCCGCCACCGCCGGACAACGTCTGGGCGGCGAGTATTTCTGGAACTCCCTCACTAGCCGCAGGTTCGAAAACTTCCCCCCGATCGCCCATCTCGACCTCTTCAGCGAACGCTTCTCCTGTCTCTTCCGCGGCAGACTTCTGGCTTTTGTCTTCGATGATTGCTATAGCAGAAATCTCATCGCTAACCTTTTCTTTATCCTTTCCCTTTTTTTTCCCCTTTTGAGAGGGATCGCTCACTCTGCGCTCCCTCCGCTTCCCCTTCAAGGTAGCGCCAGTGCCCTCCGAGGTGGCGAGATGGTCTTCAAACGCTTCGATGGCTTGATGAATCAGCTCCCGGTCAGGGGAACAATCCCACCGCGACCAGAAGCTTGTGTAGCAGTCAAAACAACCGCAGCCGAAAAGGCGAGTGTGGAGTTCGCCTGGCTTCCCACAACGCCGTTGCTCCGTCGCTTCTTCTAACCCGCCTATTGATCTCATGATAAGATATGCGAGGACCTCCTTGTCGTCGTTCCCTAGCGCCGCGGTGAGCGCTAAAATCGCCGCAGGAAGAATCCGCAGCACCGCAAGCGCCTCGCTGCGTAGATTGGACGCCGTGACCGAAGGCGATGGGTGGATCCTTCCCTTCCCTTTAGGATAGAGATTCTTCATGCCCTAACTTGCAAACTCAGAGAGAGAGAGAGAGAGAGTCGCAGGGTTTAACAGTGGCAGCGAGGCAAGTGAGGGAATTAGTCGCTGTAAGGCTAGCTGGGGTTGTGCTTTTCTGGTTTGGCCTTCGGACTGCGCAGTGTGACCGGATATCACCGGTAAAACTAGGGTTTCTATAAGTGAATTCTGCTACGGCTGTGCTTGGGAGCAATAATAGTTCAAAATAGAGCTAATTATTGACGGTATTGCCCCTTAAATGTCCAGCATTTCTATGGTTTAAACAGCCGAGAACAGTAGGGGTGTGCTAGGAAAAAAATGGTTGTGTCGGAATTAGATAACCGACTGACAGGGGGTATCGCGAATGGCGCGGCAAAAAATATTGGTTTCTTGCACCAGAATCGGGACACCTTCGGTGAGCTTAAGGTTACGTTTGGGAGAACTTTTTCACTGTTTTAATAATTAAATTTTTTTTTTAAGAATTACAAATTGAATTAATAAAAGGAAACAGGATACAAATCATATGCGTAATAGCTATTCTGTCATAATTCTTATTCAACAAAGTCATAAAAATTAAAGAAAGATTGTAGACTATTACATATATATATTGCATCCTGGAGTATTCATGGTGGTAGAGAAATAAAAAGTTTAATAACGTCTTTGCATTGTACAAAAATCCGGCACGTAATCAGATAAGAGAGAGGGTCTAGTATTTTATGAGACACCAATATTTTTACGTGAAAAAACCTCTTAAAAAAGAGAAAAACCACGGGGTCTAGCCCAGTTTGAATGAATCCACTAGTATTGCAGTTGATTACAAATGAGGTCATTCCTTGGAGGAAGGTCTTTGGCTTGATGTGCATCTTGTAGAGTATATTATATGGTGAGAATACAAAGAATTACTGTTGACGTGTTCATTTGGTCAGAAGGAGCATAGTCTGGTGACGGAGATCAGAAGAGCAGTAGTCGGCGAGCGACGGAGATCATAAAGACTGTTGTCTAGTGACGGAGGTCAGAAAGACTATAGTATGCAGGTGACGTAAGTCAGGAGGATCGTAGTTGACTGGCGATGGAGCTTGGAAGATTTGTAGTCGGTGGGCGACATAAGTAAGAATGACCATAGTTGGCGGGTGATGGAGGTCAGAAATACTGTAATCGGCGGGGGACGTAAGTTAGGAGGATCGCAGTCGGCTGGCGATGGAGGTCAGAAGGACTGTAGTCGGGGGCAATGATAGTCAGAGGGACTATAGTAGGTCGGCGACAGAGGTCGGAAAGACAGTAGTCGGTAGGCGACGTAAGTCAGGAGAACCGTAATCGATTGGTGATGGAGGTCAAAAAGTAGTTGGTGGACGACGTAAGTCAGAAGGATCGTAGTCTGCGGCCAACGGAGGTCGGAAAGACTGTTGTCTAAAGACGAAGGTCAAAAGGACGACGTTAGGTAAAAGTCCAACAATAAAAAGAAATCCATCTTCGGATAGATGTATAGTAAAAGTACAATAATCGTTAGAAGTTTAGCTTTAGGTAGAAACTTGGCAACGAGCGGAGGTTCATCATCGGGTAGAAGTCCGATGTTAGTTGGCAGACGAAAAGAACTCCGACGTCACTTGGAGTTCGAGAAAACTGCGGCGCCACTTGGAGGTCAGGCGGAATTCTGACGTCATTAGGAGGTCGAGCGAAATTTCGGCGTCACTTGGAGGTCGGGCGGAATTTCGGCATCACTAGGAATCATCGTCCTTTCACACTCTCTAAGTGTCGGGAGAGAACCGTCGTCCTTTCACACCCTCTAAGTGTAGGCAGAGTACCTTCATCCTTTTACACCCTCCAAGTGTTGGCAGAGTACCGTCATCCTTTCACATCCTCCAAGTATCGGTAGAGTACCTGATCTTCTTCAAAGATCTTCTCACGAGCAACTAGAAAGAAGAAAAAAAGAGTAATCACCAAAATCACAAAAGAGGTCCTTGTATTTGAGTAACCATGTGAATCCTTCACTGTCCAATTGCAAGAAATTCTCTCAAGCACACTCCCACACTCTCTCTTTCAATTGCCCTTGAAAAATTATGAAGATAAGACTCTTTCATGTCAATTTTAGCAGACCTTTTATATCAAAGACAAGAATAATCATCTAAAAACTAAAACTTTCAATTTTGAGTGTACACAATTGTGTGTTCGTACATACAAACAATTCAAAAATTGTTGTGTATGAACCTGTTGTGAATTGGTATGAAATGAAATTATATACGATCATCATCCGTGTTGGTGGAATTTTGAAAACAGGTTTTAAAAATATTAGTTTTCTTTGGGAATTTTGAAATTGAGATTTAATTCTAATTCTAGAAGTCGAATCAGCTCGCTCGGAAAAGTATATCACCCCGAAAGGCGAAAATAAAATTCCACAACGGTGTTCAGGCTTAGAATTATGTAATTCATCTTGAATATCACGGCTAGATTCTAAAGAGAACTCGACGCGGCCCCGAGGGGACGAGGTAGAGTTCAACTAAATAATCTAGTTATGATACTCAAGGAGTATGATTGCCGAATTCATATCCAAAGCCTTATCAAAGAAGGATGTATCTCCCCAAAGGGAGGTATCACCTTTCAATGATAATTCTTCTAATATGATAACGGCAATCATTTTTTACTTTTCCCAAAGAAATCTAAGAGGGATTTTAAAAAGATTAATTTTGAAATCAGGTGTGTGGGGTTCCAAATCTCCTACGAGCGCAAGCCCTCGTAGTTAATTACATTGTAGGGAGACAGAGTCCCCTACGAAAACTCTCGATTAAAATAAGAACGAAATTTTGTTAGATTTTCTAGGAGTGATATAAAAAAAAATTGAATAGAATCTTTTGGAAAATCAAAGGGGAGTGGATCAAAATTGAACAGTTATTAACAGAATCAAAGGAAGAGAGGTAGGGTAGGGGAACACTTTGAGATTCCAGAACCATCCGGAAGTGTCCCAACTTAATCTAAGTGTTGGGCTTTACATTTTAGGATTGAAAGGAAATTTAATTTGATTTGAGCATTTTATTAGAAATTTGGGATTATATTCCCGAAATTTGGGGTCTTATAATCAAAGATCTGCCCCGGATCCTAAATCTATTTTGGACACTGGACCACAGTCGTTCGATCCTAACTAATGCGGTGCAAAACCTGTACTTACCCCGGCCTAGATTGGGGAGCCAGCTAACCACCTAGTCGATTTAAAAGAGATGAGTCTGGTCTTTTTATGAAAGAGTGGTAGGGATGTGTACTTAAAGTTTTGGAGAGTTGGGCCGACATCTAGAAATTTTCCTAATTGGCCCCTTTGACTTATGTTGGGTGCAAAATGCTAAGGACTTTGAAATTAAATTTTGACTCTTTTAAATTTGTTTCTAATGCAATGCATGCTAGTTAAACAACCTTAAATTAAATATGCTTGAATTTTAAAAAAACAGGCTTACAAAATAAATTTTTAGAAGAACTGGGCTTCCCTAGGTCTGACACCTCGTCCTCATAGGTCCAGACTATCCGACTCTACCCGCAGGCGGGGAAGGGTCTAAAACAAGGGAAGATAATGCAGTAATATGCATGCGACCCCAGGGTCGATCGCCGGCTAATTCCCTATATTCGTTATCTTTCTATGTTATTTACACTCACTAAAATTTTAAACTTTTAATTATGAGTATAAAACTTTCACACGCCTTCAAAGAGTCTCACGTAATCCAGGCGAAAACAAAAGTGGCACACAATCGCCAAAAAACTAGGAAAAGCCAAGCAATCCTAAAGGCAATCAATTCATACATCAAATATTAACTAATTAATAAATATCCATAGGCAAAGTTGCCCTGTTATTACAAACAAGAGTTTTGTAGAAAGTAAAGTGGCCGGGCACCACTGACCAACAACCCGGATTCTAAGCTTAATAATGACGCAAGTAATTTTGTGTGGGATACTCTCAATCTTCAAGTCTTCAGTCTTTGCCCTTCTTTGGACTCTTTCCTTCAAACTCCTTGGATTCTTCGCTGCGAACACCCAAATGGATAGAGGGCACCTTCCCCTTAAGGGGAAGGCCACTCTTTCCTCTTTGGGTAAAGAGAAGTGTGATTCCGAATTTGATTTCCAAATGGAAGAAGGAATTCTTCCAAAAGGGCATCCTTTCCTCTTTGGAATCCAAGCTTTGGATCCTATGTATCCCATCTCAAATTAACTTTCACAACACTTGACAATTATCAAATTACATTTACACACAAACAATTATATATGTGCAAAAAGGAAGTAAAACACATTGGCCACGCTCTTTATTTGGGGGCTTTAGCAGTTTGAAGCACCCTGTGCAAAGCATTTATAACAATTGATATTTATTATTAACTAGCCCCCCCTTTTTACTGCGCTGCATGAGCGTGGCCACCTACAGAAAACTATGTGAACATCCAGATCGTACCTAACCTAAGGGTAATCTAGTCATCAAAACAATCAATCCCATCCACAGAGTGCAGAAAAGTAAGCAGACCAACAAAGCAATTTCTCCACAACATGCAGTGAAAACCATGAAAAATCCGGCACACAGTAGTAAAGTAAACACTGGCCTAACCTAAAATCTAGAGTTGTTGTCCTAGGCACATCATCTTAAAGTGTGTGTAGAAGGTGTGGCAGGGGTAGATCCTAATGTGGGTG